GATAATAGGATTCTGAAATAGCAAAGGCTGTTGGTGCCACTAACCATCCGAGGCAAGGCAGATGCAATACCCATGTGGGCATCGAGACCCAACTCACAACCTGTGTGTCGCGACCCACTGCAGTATACAGATGGGTGGCTGACTAGGGTACTGCTTGACTTGTATAACCAGGCAAAAGGAACTGGCAAATGGGCTGATGTCTCATCACCTAGTGTTCAGATGTGAGGGCTCAGACCCATAGCCCGCAGATTGAGAGAGAGGCTGGTTCTCTTTGAAGAGGGACTTTGCAACATCCCTGCTGCAAGTACAGACAATGTAGCCTGCAGATTGAGAGAGAGGCTGGTTCTCTTTGGGGGACTTTGCAACATCCCTGCTGCAAGTACAGACAAATGGTCCCTCTTTTTCCTCAAGGGAACCTCAGCTTTTTGTCAGACTAACTGTACATCAACGAAGGGATAGTATCCAGACCTTTTGAGGGCTGTCGACTACAGCCTCTGAGCTAATAATAATAGTACTAGGCAGCCCTCAATCAATAGCGCATGGGAGTTGGCAGATAAATGCCCTAGCTTTTCATCTTCCTGAGGGACCAGACTAGTCTACGTGGTTCCTCAAAGGGTTCCTAGAAGCCCTAAGGCCCCTGTTGCCCACAGCAGCAACCAGCTTAACACATTCCTTATTGGCCTTCCTTCGTTTCCCTGGCTCTCTCTCTTTGCTTGGTCACTCTGGCTTCCTAGATCACCTCCCAAGTTAAGTAAACTATCAGCACCTCCATCTTTGTCTTTGGTTCTTTATTTGGGGAGGGGCGAGGACAGATGGGCTTGAACTATGATAGACAGGAAGCAAAATGTGATGCCTACGACTCTAATGTAGTGGGTATCAGCCCTCTCTTCTTTCCAGTCCTTCCGATGACCACTTGGAACTCTGGAGCCAGATCATACTTCTGCCAGGAGAGTTCCTGTGGCTCTGGGTCCCCCCGCAGTGCTTGGTGGTGTTGGACTCTTACATTTGACTATGCTGGTGGGTAGAAGATGTCTCATTGTGGTTTTGCTTTTGCTGACCATAAATGAGACTAAACATCTTTACAAATGTTTATGTGCCATTTTTGTTTACTCTTCTGTGAAATTTCTGTGTCCTTTGTCCAATTTTCTATTGGACAAAATTTCTATTTTTTGTTTGTTTTGCAGTTTTTTGTTTTTATTGCTTTGTAGGAGTTCTTCTGGTTACTAATCCTTATTGGTTGTATGTATTGCAAATATCTTCTGGTTTGTAGACTACTGTCTTTTGATGAAAAAGTTCTTAATTGTAACCCTAAATTTATCATTTTATTTTTTTATGGTTTGCACTTTTTGTATTGTTTTAGAAATCTTTCTCTGCCCAGAAGTCATAGATATTCTCTGTTGTGTTCTAAACATTTTATAGTTTTGTCTGTTATATATAGCTTTTTAATCTGCCTTGGATAGATTTTTCTTCCCTCTGGCGGCTTTTAGTATTTTTCTTTGGCTTTCTTTTTTGTGGTTTTACTTTGACTTATCTAGGTGGAGTTTTCTTTGTATATATTCTGGCTGGAGTTGAGCATTTTGAATCTGAGTTGATATTTTTCATTATTTTTAGAAAAAGCTTAATAGGAGACAGCTGGATTCTCGGTATCTGCTTTTGCATTGACTGTTTGCAATATCACACATCAAGTAGCCTCTGGAAAATGAAAGTGAAAAAAATAATGTCAGTATTATTATAGACCCTTTGAAAGGATCATGGGGAACCCCTGGAGTCTCAAAACCACACTCTGAGAACCACTAGTCTAAGATTTTGGTATTAAGAGCATACTAGCCTCCTAAAATAAGCCATAGAATGTTCCCTCTTTTTTCTGAACTCGGGAATAATTTGTGTAAAATTGGAATTATTGTTTCTTGAATGTTTAATGTTAGAAAATCTTCTGGGTCAGGAATTTTCTTTGTAGGAAGATTTAAAAACTTTTGATTCATTTTCTTTAATGTTATAGAACTATTCGGGTTTGCTATTTTTCCTTGTTTTGTTAAGTTATATTTTAAAATAATTTTTTCGTTTTATCTCAGTTTTCAAATATATTTGCATAAGTTCATTGGTATCATCTTTTAAATATAGGCAGCAGATAGAGTTATGGTCCCTTCTCCATTACAGATGTTTATTTGTGCTTTTATTCTCTTTAGTTCAATTAATCATACCAGAATAACGTTAAATAACCATTTTATTCATCTTTTTTAAAAAACAACTTTTAGCTTTGTAGAGCCTTTCTATTTTTTTTTTAAATTTCTGTTTCATTTATTATTTATTTTCTTTTATTATCTTTGGATTTATTTTCTTGTGAAAATGTCTTTTTTTATAGTTAATTTGCAACTCATGAAAATTTGTAAAGCTCATGTGTAAGTAGATTATATTTTTTTCCCTTAACCCTCATTTTTTTTTTTTTCTTTAAGCATGCAGACTGTATTTTTTAAACTTTAGGTGACCCAATATTGGGTGTTATAAATTATCTAGTAGGTTATGGCCAGAAGTTTTAAAAAAGCAATAGAATAACAGAATAGAAAAATAACAGTGTTCACCAAATGTTCTATGGCTGGTACTGTGTACTAAGATTAAATGTTGTTTTGTTAAACTTTTATTTCAAATACATATATGCACACACATACACATCTGTGTCTGTACTGGGTCACAATATAAAATGTGTTTCTTATTTTAGATTTTGCTTTAAAGAAGAAAATTTGAAAGTCACTGTGTTAAAAGGTGGTTTGACTAATTTTAGTAAAGATGGTAGATCCGGTTGCATGAAACAAACATCTGAGGAGCTTGCTAAAATGACAGATGCTTTGACCCTATTTTAGACCTACTAGTACAGACCTCCAGTGCTGGGGGCAAAGACTCCGTTTTAACAGGCTTCCTGTGTGAGCCTCAGCCTTTGGGTGTTTGAGAACCACTGATTCAGGATGTAAACAAACCTGAGGAGCCTGTGGGAAGTTCTGACTTGGAGCAGCAGAGGGTGCAGCTCCTTGCACCCTTTCATCCTGAGACCTCCTGTCCTTGAACTCTAGGAGGGTCACATAAGTGGCAAGAAAGCTATTGGAGCGGGCAAGGCTGGAGGTAGTAGGGGGTGGGGGCAGGCTGGGAACATCTTGTTGGTTGGTAGAATGACAGAAAAAAATGAAATAGCGCTCATGTCTGAATTTCTGTCATAGAATCAATAAACATATATTGAATGGCTGATGTGTATACCCCAAAGATGAGAATCTTTAGGCTTAAAATGTATGAGCTTTCCTACATTCGTCTGTGATTTGCAAATTTCTTATATTCTAGCTCACGGTCTTAGAGAGATACAAACAGAAATCATTCATGACTGTCCACATTTTATCCAAAAAGCTGGGAACGATTCTCACATTCACTGCTAGGCAGTACCTTGCTAGGTAGGCAGGAGGCTGTTTTACAGTGTGGGCAGTGACTTGGGGAGAGCTCTCTTTAGCCAAAGTAAAAATGGTTGATAAACCTTATGATGGTCTGTGAGCTTTTCAGTTATTTTCCTTTATGTTAATAGCTTTTCTGAAAGATTAGTGGGTAGAATCAGACCATTTTGTAGATTAGGACTTTGACATGTTGAATGCCACAGTAGCTTGTGTAACATGGTAAATCTGTGGCATATGATGCAATCATACTCAAGGCTCTACCCTCCCCACAGAGTATCTAGGCATCAGATGGGGAAGGTTTGTTTGGTAAGGATCTTAAATTGTGATCTACAGGGGAACTCTGCAATTTCAATTGAGGACTAAGAATTTTCTTTATATCAGTTGGTGATTCCTATTGGCTGTTTCATTTAGCTAGGCTGAGTAACAAACCAACCCAAAACTTAGCTTAAAAACAACTACAATCACGTAGTTGTTTGCTCAAGATTCTGCCGTCCACGTGGAACTTGGTGAATGGCTCTTGTTTGCTTCACATGGCTTCCACTGGGGTCTCCCTGAGGATGCCTTCAGTCGGGAGCGCCACTGCCTTAGAGATGGCAGCTGGGTTCCAAGAGGACAAAAGCAGCAGTTATAGGGTCGTTTAAGGCCTGGGTTAAAAAGCCCGAGAATGTTACCTCCAACACATTCTCTTGGTCAAAGCTGGTCACAAGCCTTGCCCAGATTCAGGGGGAAGGGGGATAGATTCTACCTTTTGATTAGAAAAGTCGTATGCACATTCGCTGAGGAGAAGAATGGTTGGCATCAGTCTTGTAAACATCACCACACTGGCCTTTCTTCTGCTCCCTCTCTCCCTAAACTCCCTCCCTGTTCCTTTCTTCATTCCTTCCGTCTGAGTATGTCAGCTAGCACCTTCCAATACAACGTCGGTGTGTATTTTATTTAAAGATTACTCTTTTCTTCTCTAATACCCTTGCCACTTTATTGATATTTTTCTAGTGTTATTTTTATATTTTGCATTTTGGTACAGTTCTGTTTGTCTTACCTTAATAGAATATAAGTTCTTCAGAGGGGGAGTCTTTGCTTTCTTCTTTGTGTCCTTTGCATTGCATGATGGGTGCTCGGTAGAGGGCTGAATGCATAAATGAATAAAAATAGATTTTAGAACAACTGTCAGTTTGTCCAGACGAAGCATCAGTTTATGTTAGGCAAGTGTTTAACAACAACGAAACAACTGTCTTTAGCTATTCCACTTTTGATTTTTCTTCCTTGGTCAACACCTGTCTTCCTAGGCTCCTCACATTGATCAGCTCATGCTTTCGGTGAACATATGTTTGTAGAATATGGTTATATTTTTATAGTGCATATTAGTATTTATATTAAATAGTATATGTAGTATTAAATGTTAAAGATTATATAGCATATATTTATATATACAAAGGACAGTCAAAAGTTTCTTTTCATTATTTCATCAAATCAAAAAAAAAAAGGTATATTAAAAGTCAAATAGTTCTTTCAACTACCATTTGCCACCCTAAATATTTCATTTTTTTCATTTCTGTGCCTGGTAACCAGGAGTGTAAGGAAGAGGCTGTCTGTGCCATTATGTGTGCGTCGGTCAAGTACAATATCCGGGGTCCTGCCCTCATCCCAAGAATGAAGACCAAGCACCGAATCTACTACATCACCCTCTTCTCCGTTGTCCTCCTGGGCCTCATTGCCACTGGCATGTTTCAGTTCTGGCCGCATTCCATCGAGTCGTCAAATGACTGGAGCGTAGAGAAGCGCAGTGTCCGGGACGTGCCGGTGGTCAGGCTGCCGGCCGACAGCCCCATCCCCGAGCGGGGCGATCTTAGTTGCAGAATGCACACGTGTTTTGATGTCTACCGCTGTGGTTTCAACCCAAAGAACAAAATCAAGGTGTATATCTACCCTCTGAAAAAGTACGTGGATGACTTTGGCGTCCCAGTCAGCAACACCATCTCCCGGGAGTACAATGAACTGCTCACGGCTATCTCAGACAGTGACTACTATACCGACGACATCACCCGGGCCTGCCTGTTTGTCCCGTCCATCGATGTGCTGAACCAGAACACGTTCCGCATTAAGGAGACGGCGCAAGCGCTGGCCCAGCTCTCTAGGTATCTAGCACTTTTCAGACCGGAGCCAAGTCCTTCAGGGAATCAAGGGAAGGGCAGGGAGAGGGACATTTCTTCCCCTAAGCTGGCTTCCCGCTGTTGTCTCTTTTCTCATGGGATGGGATGTGGATGGGTGACTGACTGGTAGCGTGAGCCCAGCGGCCTCTGCCAGTGAAGAGCAGTCTGTCTGCCATCCGTGCTGCCGCCGCGGGCTCCCAGCTTCTTAGAGTCTAAAAAACTTAAGGATGGTTTGTCTTCCTATGCTTTTCTTTTTAAATTTAAATACTTTCCCTTTCTCTTTATTACTCTCATAATATGTGTTCACTTTAAAAATGTCTGAAAATGCAGGTAAACAAAAAGAAGAATATGACTCATTTCATAATCTCGCTTCTAAGAGATAATCATTTTTATGTTACTTTTCAGTTTTTTTATATAAAAATATATACATATGCATTATATATACATTTTTGTGTAAAAATATATACGTATGCATGTGAATATATTCACTTTTGTCAAGAATGGGGGCACACGGTACATATTCCCTTGCTACTTTTTTCTCTTAAAAGATCATGAATGTATTTTCAAATAATTTCATATTCTTTTACTATGTAATTTTAAGATTTATATAGTATTCCATATGTTCCATAATATATTAATCAGCTTTTTATATTTTATTTCTTTTTGTTCCTTTAATCAAATGGTAAACACTCAGAGAGAGCTTTCAGATTTTCATTCCCGCAAGCAGTTCTGTGAGGGACAAGCTTCAAGTACATATCCACCCATTGTTCCTTTTGAGGGTCCAGGCTGGTGCCTGACCTGCTGCTGGGATTTCTAGGAACTCACTTTGTGTGTATGAGAAGTGGCCCTGTTGGAGACTGGGGATACTTGCTACTTGTCATTCAGTAGCTGATTCTTATTTTTGTTTCTTCATCAGTGACATGACATGTTTAATTTCTTAATAGATGGGATCGAGGTACAAACCATCTGCTGTTCAACATGCTGCCTGGAGGTCCCCCAGATTATAACACAGCTCTGGATGTCCCCAGAGACAGGTTGGTGTATTTGGTGCTGTCACTCGGTGGGTGTCTGTTCATATGAAATCATATTCCTAAGCCTACTGGGACTTACTTTGTAATAAGAATTTTTTTTAATAAAAAATTGCCCTAGGCATTTCCTTTCTCAAGAGACCTGCTTAACTCCGTTGTGGAGAACCGATGAGAGCTGATGTTCTAGCATAGCGTCTTAAAAACTATCTTTATTTCTTAATCCGAGTTATGCTGTCCTGAGTGCAGCACTCCCACCCGCTAAGGCCTGGTTCATGATTGGCAAACTCTCTGAATTTGGGAGCTTTTGCCAAAAGTAGAGCCACAGCTTGCTGAGGGAAGAGGGCACGGGTGTGTGAAAGTGATGCCTACCTACCGCCTGTCGTGCCAGGAAATGGGGCCACTCCGATGATCATTTACTCTGGTGTTTCAGTCACTTCCTTCCTTCCTGTTTTTCTTTCCCTCTCACCCTGCAGAGCCTTTTTTCCTTCCTTCCTAATAAAACCTTCCAAACTTGCAGATGCGGCTCGGGGGCCATGATTGCATGGTTATGATTTTAAGTTCTCTTACTATATATTTACCAGCCGTTTTGTGCATTGACGGACTCACTTTAGCTGGAGGCTTCCTGGAAAGCTCAGGAATGAGGTGCTGCGTCAAGTTCCTCTCCTAGTACCGGGGCGAAGGCTTTGAGTAGAGCAGATAGTCCGGGCCCAAGATAAGGGTCTTGGGCAATACTCATGGGACAGGATTGTTCTAAGTTTATGGATGGACGCATTTATAACATATTTTATTGCAGTTGATATTTAACTCTTAAAATCATCGTTACTGAAAAAAGCGAGCAAACAGCCTGTTGTGTTCTCAACTTTCTAGGAGCTAATGTTGTTGTTTATGAAAATCTACACTTAGTACTACTTTGTCCCAGAATATTAAACCTAAGCCCTCTTTGCTCTAAGGATCATCTAGAGTCAGTGTTGTGTTTCTGTCTGGAAATACAGTTGTTATTAGAAGAGAGGGACACACCAGGACCACTCCTCAGCTTAGGTGTGGCAACCATTCCAGACGATAGAGGGCAGTCAGGCCACACAGATTCTGTCGAAACCAGCTAAACACAAAGTGATCCCCGATGTGGCTCTCGGCTCCAGTGTGCCTGAGTGGGCTACTATTTTATGGATTTGGTTGTTCTGGGAAAGGGAAATAGAGAAGGGAAGGAAAAGAGCTGCTAGGAATGCAATGTCTTCACCTGCTGTTCTGGGTTTATTTTGAGAAAGGCTTGTTTCTGTTTGGGACATTTTGCTGTTTGCTGACATTTTGGTATATGTAGCTGCGTGGGAGAAGGATTTTATTTTTATCAAGTGCACATGTTTAATGGGGTTTCACTTCTCTGCAGGAAAGTGTCAAGTAGTCAGGAGAAAGTTTAAGTTTTTGCTAGTTCTTAGGTGTTAAGGATTAGGAAGGTTGAATTGTTTTCCCTGTGCATGTATTTTGGTAAGTGATTAGAGGCAGTCCTACAGCAAGTAATGAATCACTCTGTAGTCCTTATCTTTGCATGTGGGAAACTTCATTTTGAAACCTAGGTGGTCTTCTGGTTGTGGTAAGGAATAGTAAATTTGTTTGCTCATTTTTCTTCTCCTTTGTCCTTGCTCCTGATTCAGAGGCGGCAAGAACCATGAGTATGGAATGGTTTCCGCAGGAGCTGCAGATCAGATTATTCAGAAGTCAGAAAACAGACGGGCTAAATGAGACTGCTCGTTTCTTAGCTCTCCCGAAAACTAAAGTCACAGGTGTGATTACTTAAGAATTTTCTCGGGGAAGTGCAAGAAGGAAATGTCTGCTCAGTGAATATGTCTTTTATACTGCTTAAATCTGGTTTTATTTCGATTGCAATTTAAAAAAATTATACACATGATATACCTTCTTTGTAGAAGGTTGGAACAGTATGCAAATGTATAAAGAGTAAGCTATAAAAATGTGCTTTTAAACCCTCTCTTTTCACTCCTTTTCTGAAAGGTAATTGCTGTCTTCTTTCTATGGGTTTATGCATACACACACACACACACACATACACACACACATGCATACACACACATGCACACTCATTTTATTTTAACTTAAATGGGAGCAAATGATACCTCAATGCCTTGCTTTACTGATCTTTGTTTTCTCAGATATGTTCTGTGATATTATTACGACCTTGGATTTTTATTATCCTGTCTTTGCACATATCTCTTAAAAATTTGTTTTGTGTGGGTGAATATTTATTTATTTAAACTTGTGGAAAATTTCAAACCTGTATTAAAGCAGAGAGATTACTACAGTGAACACGAGGTCCCCCGTCCAGCTTCAGTAGTTGTCACCGCGAGGCCAGTCTGCATTCATCTGTGCTCCTGGCACTCCCACCAGAGTCTCTAGAGGCGAACTCCAGACGGTAGATCATCACATATGTGAACATTTCACCTTGAACCTCTGCGTGATGGGGCTTTTTGAAAAACCTAACTACAGTACTATTATCCTACCTAAAAAAAATTAATAGTAATTCTTTAATGTCACCAAATATTCACCATGTATCTAGCCATTTCAAATTTATTTGTCTCATAGATTTTTTTTTTTTTTTTTTTACAGTTTATTTGATTCAGTAAATAAATATGACCAATAGAATTGGTCAGCGTCCCTCCCCCACAAACCTGAAGCTTTCTATTTGAGGAATTTGCAGGCCTGATTGCTTGGTTTAAAAGGAAGCAAAGGGTAAACCTGCAGTCTGAGTTTAGGCCCTGTGAATACTCAGATAAGAGGAGGAGAACTATGAGCACGTCCGAGGACACAGCCACACCTAGGCCCTGTGGAGTACATGGGGCCGTGGGGAGGCTTCAGTGACAGAGACGACCTAGACCCAGAAGTCCTGGCAATGCTAAAAATGCCAGAGAACACTGAGTGATATAACACTTAGACTGGCATGCGTCTGATTATCATATTAATACCTTTTTAAATGCAGGTTTTCTATCCAGTCTCTTGCAGCTTTGGAACTGATCTCTGATTTTGGGATACATAATGGGAAAACAGAATGTACTTCTCAGAAATTCACTTTTCAGTCAATGTAAAACACGTGTTCTGTAAAGCAAAGCATGCTTACAATATTTTCTCCATTATAGTATTATGGGAACATTGGCAGAAAAAGATAAAGTGACTTAAAGTTGAACTCTTGTGAGTAGCAGGGCTGCTGTGAGGCCTGTTTGACTAAATGCAGTCATGGCTCTTTCCAAGATCACAAATGGAGATCACACGTGTACAGTCTGTGACATAAGACATGCTTCAGATTGCATGCTTTCCTACTACCAGTGCGTAGCCCCTCACCCTGCCCCCCAGGGACAGAATAACAGTAAAAGTTGGTGTGATTTACACCTGCTTCCTTTCTTACCGCATACGCAAACCCCTCTCCTCTGGGGCTGTGGGTATAACTACCTAATCACCCACTGCCCTGGCTTACCTGGACTGTCCACTGCCTGTAGATTGGATCCATGTTTGCGTCTCTGCACAGAGGTCATGGGGGCCCATACAGCCTGCTTGCCATCATGATCATGGAACCTGCTCAGATTCATGTTGGATGGATTCATTGCTGAATGCTAATCAGGAAAAATAAGACCGTATGTTTGGTACTAAGGATAGTCATTAAGTTTTTCAGAGTAGACTGGCAGCTGGAGGGATTTTTAGCCTGCACATTACCTCACTAACCAATTCTTGGTTTCATAAATCTTAAACAAACAGATTGGGACTCCCAGGCGTGGGCTGAAAATCTTTGAACTTTACCCGGTCATGTTAGGAGAGAACGTCCGCTGTCATCAGGGCAGGTAGGGGATTGGCAGCAATCAGTGTTGCAAAAAATGTGGTTTCTCAGTTTCGACATTTGGCTCAGACTGTATAGTGTGTGGAACTGGCAAAACTCTGCCCCAGTAAGTGATTTTGATGGGGTTGGGGCCCCAACGACAGGATAACAGTAAAAGTTGGTGTGATGTACACCTGCTTCCTTTCTCTGATGAAGTGTCGTTGTACTACTTGCTGGATCCAATTAAAACAGTGTGTTAACAGCTTTCTATTTTAAGGAGAATAAAAGCTAGGGCATGCAAACTGCCAGAAAAGCACTAAAAGTCCAATTCTGGATTCTGCTTCCTGTATAGGGAATTGGGTTAAAAAGACCGAGTAACTGGAGGAGATGGTGATTGCTGGTAGAGGCTACGTGATTCACACATAGCTCTGGGGGAACAGTGGGCAGAACTGCTTACAGCAGGACTTGGAGAGGGGCTGGGGCATAGGCAGTGTGAGATGTGATACTTTGCTGTCACCGCTGCTTTCTGTGCCCATTGTCTCCTGAGATTCTAGTCAGTGAGTTGGTAAGTGACGGCCCCAGCCAGTCTTCCTATGCAGGCCTATTGTTATGCCTGTTATCGTACATATATTTAAGAGTTGGGTATGACTTTGTCCTCTGAGCTGTGATGTATTTTAAAAAATGGAAAGTAAATAAGGACTACGTAGGATCCCAGAGGCAGGCGGGTGACTCGGGAATAGAATGCAGCTGATGTCCAGGAGATGTGAGTGTAAAACAGGTAGCACAATGTCTATATAGAAAAACGACTGTGTAAACATCAGTCGTTGTTGATACTAAGACTCAATTATAGCAGGTCCTTGAATAATGTCATTTCATTAAACTTCGTTTCGTTATAACATTGACAAGATGCAGTAGGAACTTAACTCTTGTTTGTATCAATTAGCCCAGCGGTCCCCAACCTTTTTGGCACCAGGGACGGGTGCTCCTATGAGGATCTAATGCATGATGGTCTGAGGTGGAGCTGAGGCGGTGATGCTAGCGCTGGGGAGCGGCTGCAAATGCAGATGAAGCTTCACTTGCTCGCCTGCCACTCATCTCCTGCTGAGATGCAGTAGGAACTTAACTCTTGTTTGTATCAGTGAGCCCAGCGGTCCCCAACCTTTTTGGCATCAGGGACGGGTGCTCCTATGAGAATCTAATGCATGATGGTCTGAGGTGGAGCTGAGGCGGTGATGCTAGCGCTGGGGAGCGGCTGCAAATGCAGATGAAGCTTCACTTGCTCGCCTGCCACTCATCTCCTGCTGTGCGGCCTGGCTCCTATCAGGCTATGGACCAGTACTGGTCTGTGGTCTAGGGGTTAGGGGCTCCTGAATTAGCTTATGGTAAAATTGGTTTCATTTTATGTCATTTTGCTTAAAGTCACAGAACCTGCCCACAACGTTAGGTGAGGACTTACCGTACTGCTATCCCTTTCCACAGAGCCTATCAGAATGAAGACCTTTTTTATTGTTTGACAAAATTTTTTCCTTTCAGGGCTCTGTTGGCTGGTGGTGGCTTCTCCACATGGACTTACCGGCAAGGCTACGATGTCAGCATTCCTGTCTATAGTCCGCTGTCCGCTGAGGTGGACCTTCCAGAGAAAGGATCAGGGTAAGGTGCATTCAGCACAGGCAGGTTCATGTGAGGTTCATCGTGGCGGGTATCACAGCAGTCAGCATCGATTACAGGCCAGGGTCCCTGAGTCTACCATCTTCCTCCCCACAACCCCAATCCTATTTATCCTTCAGTATTCTCTCTCCCAGTAAATTTACGATGCTATCTACCAAGCTTTCCAAATCAGAAATGTGGTGTCCTTAACTCCATCCTCTCCCTTACTTCTGTATCAAAAGAATAAGTCCTATTGATTATACATCCTAAATATTTCTTAGATCTGTCTTCTCCTTTGCCTCTGCCTCCACCCTATACCAGGTTATCATCATCACTCCCTTGGATTGTGGAAATCGCCTCGCATTTGGTTTCCCTACCTCTATCTTGCTGCCCTCCAGTCTGACTGTTGGTTTTACAGTGCCCTTAGGGATAAAGCCCAGACTCCTTAAAATATCCTTCAACACCCTCTGTCATGTGACCACTGTCTCTGTCTTTAGCCTTTTTTTCTCTTTTAGTTCTTAGAAAGAGCTTTGTTTGCTCTTTGAGTTTTTCTGGGCTATAAAACTCCATTGTCTGGAAATCTTTTTCTTCATTTTCATCAGACTAATGACTTATCCTTTAGTTTTCAACCTGAGTACGTGTTACTCAAGGGGCACTTTCTTAGCCTCTGCCATGGCCCTTCTGCTTTATGCTCCCATTGCAGCCTGCAGTTCTCCTGGTGTACCACTCATTATGCCCCAATGTAAGGACTTGCTCAAAGCCTCTCTGCTTGGGATTTTATAAGTGCAGTGAAGCTGGTGCCTGTGTTTTAACTGTCATGTCCTCTGTACCTGGCACATAATTGGCTCATATTATTGATAGGTGAATGAGTAAATGAAAAGAACTGACAGCATGGATGTGTGAGGCATTTTGTCTCACCTCTTTTGCTGTAGTCTGTTTAAAGTTGTGCTAATTCATGGTGAGAATCTCAATGAGCTTTAAACAAATGTGATGATAATAACAGTATTATTTACTTGTATGCCAAGTGCTCATGTATGAAGATGATTGATTCATATATTGCCACACTAGAAATGTCATACTGTCTGAGCACACTTGTTGAAAATACTGTTCTTTTTTGTATGATCTTGAATGATCTTGGCACCGTTGTTGAAAATCAACTGGCCATAGAAATGTGGGTTTATTTCTCGACTCTCAATTCTGTTCCATTGGTCTATATGTCTGTCCTTATGCCCCTACTGCAGGGTCTTCATTATTGTAGTGTTGTAGTAGGTTTTGAAACTGGTAAATGTGAGTCTTCCAACTTTGTTCTTCTTTTTCAAAGTTTTTTTTTTTTTAAGCTATTCTAGTTCCCTTGAATTTTAATTACTTTTTTTTTTAATAATGCAACTTGAATAAGTAAAAATAAAAAATGATCTAAACTCTGTGCTTATACAACTACAAAACTAAAACATTTACAAAGTAAACATAAACAAGTCTACAGAACTAATAACATTCAGATCAATATAACATGATAGCTTGGGCTTTTTCTTTGAAACTGAATTGTATTTTTCCAGGCAAATACGGAGTTAATTATGGTTTTTTGGATTTAGCATGCCTATACTCTTGCATGCTGGGTAATGATGTGCTTCTCCCTACCACTTTTTCTATTTGAACAGGAAGCTTCTTATAGCATATTGTGACATCATTTATCTTCATCTGGTACAGATGCATGATTCATATTTTCCCCTAACATTTTATTATGAAAATCTTCAGACAACAAAATTTTAAAAATTTATAGTAAACACTTATACCCATCACTTAGATTCTGTCATTAGCATTTTACTATACTTGCTTTACATGATTTACATTTTAAGTCTTCCTCTTTTCTCATGAGCCCACTAAATACAAATTTGAACATTGAAAAATTTTTAGTACTATTCATCATTAAATATGAGCAAAAATATGCGTAATTTTTGGGAGGTCATCACAAAATGAAAATACAAAAATAATTCTTATAAAGAATTTGTAACTGGAGAAAGTGGTATAGTTCAATGCCATGTTTTGAGGTTGAATTTCCATAAATTGAGAAAGGGTGATCTGTGTTAGCCCAGTTTGTACCCTTCAAAGTGGTACAAGTTTTTGTCATTTACCTAGGATCTTAATTTGGCATCTTTATGTAGCACAAGATATGAATAATCATAATAAGTAGAGAAAAATCATTTGGCGTTGAAAAAAAGATTTCCTTTTCTGCTTGCTGTTTCTGTGAGCATTTACTTAAATTTAAATCACTTGTGTGATTTTCGAAAAATTTTTTTAATCTTTTGCTTTCCACTCTCTTTTTCCCTCCTGAAGTTGTTTTGAAAATTGTTTTGTTCAGTTCAGTTCACTTCAGTTCAACTCAGATCTTTATCGAAGGCCTATTTGGACCAAGTATGGCTACGCTGGTGGTTCTCAACGGGGGGCATGGTTGATTTTGTTCCCCTGGGGACATTTGGTAATACGTGGAGCTATTTTTTACTGTCATGTCTGAGGGCGTATGTCAGGGTTCCCCAAAATCACCTCCAATTTCGATGATTTGCCGAGAGGACTTACAGGAGTCAGCATGTAGTTGTACTCATGCTGTGATTTATTACAGCAAAGGGATACAAAGCATAGTCCGCAAAGGGAAAAGGAGCATGGGGCGAAGTCCGGGGAAACCAGGTGCAAGCATCCAAGGGCCCTCTCCCAGTGGGGCCACACAGGATGTGCTGGATTCCCCCCAGTAATACGTCGTGACAGTGTGTGTGAAATGTTGCCCGCCGGGAAGTTCGTTAGAGACTCAGCGCCCAGGCTTTTTATTGGGAGCTGATCACATGGACAGTCTGCGCTTGGCCTGTGCCGAAATTCCAGACTCCCAGAAGGAGAGCAGGTCTTCAGTGTGAAACATATTGTTTGTACAAACAGTTTGGGCACAGTTCTTATCAGTTCTGAGGATGGTGGGAAATCTCCCAAAAGTGGAGTGCCCATATACCGGCCAGGTGCCAGCCTTTCAAAGGACAACTGTCAGGCCTGCTGTGTGAACTCTGTTCTGCACAGGGTGCCCCTGGCATCGATTGGGTGGAGCTCAGCGATGCTGCTAAACCTATTCATTGCTCAGTGCTGCTCCCCACAACAAAGAATTATTGGGTCCAAATGTCAGCAATGCTACTGTTGAGAAAGCCTGGGACAGACTGAGTGAGCGATGAGAATCAGGCCTGTTAGGTCCGCTTGGCTGCCGCTGGGCCCCTACCTTTCTTAAGACTGCTTGAAATAAATTCTTATCTAATCTCTTTAGTATAATCGAGCTCTCTTATATTAGTTTAAGACTCTTAATTCCTTTCAGATTTAAACCAGGGAAGAAAACAAACTGAAAAGAAAAAGACTTAGTAAACAAAAGAGAAGAAATCACTCCGAACAGTAAAAATTACTTTCAAATAATTAGTTCAGAGATTTAAATTGCTATGTTGGTGGTATTTTCTTAATAATTAATCTCTCTAATTATTATGCATAATTAGACTGAAGCTGAGGAGATCCTTAAGTATATCACCTAAAATATCAGTCAGTTCCCGAAGTTCTCTGGTTCAGTAACTAGATAAACAGTGTATCTTCAAGTAGAGAGTTCGAGGCCACACTGGGCATGATCTTCCCTCCGCTGGCCAGCTAGTGGATTTCTACATCTCAACTTGACTCCACTCTTCCCCTCCAGCCTGCAGTTTGGCCCTGCAGCTGTGGTATTTCTTTTATAAACAATACTCTCCTCCTTACCCCACTTCACCCTCCCCCCCCCAAAAAAAAAGTCAAAAAAAAAAAAAAAATAAGGCAAAGACAAGGCTCCAGACTCATCATCCTTTTCAGGGACTTGGTAGGAGGCAGGGCGGGTGACCTCACTGCCGCATTTTGGATTTGTTGCTCTTTGTGAGAGTTGCTTTTTAAGGGAATTCCCACATCTCTTGAGGGCTACACAGAGTAGCGAGAGCTTTGTTTTTATTTTTATTTTAAATCTCTCTCAATATTTTTTCAATGGGAAGCTGAGGGGTGTTGCTATTGATAGCTTCTTCTCACAGCTATGTTGGCCTCAGCTGGAATTCTTGTCATTTTCTTTCTAAAAGGAACTAAATTGGGAGTTTACAACTGTTACTATTGAGGGAGACTTCAAGTTCTCAGCGTGATTTTACTTAAACTTAGATGTCAGCACTGCTGGGAGGAAGCAGGAAAATCATAGCTAGTGACTTCAGTCGTTAAAAGAAAAACAAATCCACCTTAACATTTTGTTTGTGTAAAACTAAAATGGGCATACTCCGTCAGCCATCTGTCAGGTCAGGGAGGACCAGCATGCGAGCAGAGGGCACGCCATCACGTTCTTGTTCACATCTGCACATTTACGTTGAAAATGGATTAGTGGTGGAGTGAGGATCCACTGGTCCTGGCGACTGAATGTCTGAAATAGAACTTTGTTTCTTAACAGTGAAATCTAACCCAGAATCCCTCTTTACTTGAGAGTTTCTTTGAGCATCACACATTAACATCTGTATTTATTTCTGTATCTGTGTAAATGAACCTCTCTCTCTTTCTCTAAATGTATGTGTATTAAAAACCATGCATTCCTATCCATACCTCTGACTTCATCCAGGAGCATTCTTGTTTTCTCTGCTTTCCATATGTGTAACTCCTGTGTCTGACACTGAGAGATCTGGTTCCCGTTATCCTCATTATCTTTACTTATTTGATCAACCCTCTTGTATGTCACCAAAATTCTGTTACTGCTGCTGTCCCCCACCTCACTGCGCAGGTGCCCTCATCATCCCCACTCAGACTCCAGCATCCCCCACATGTTGTGCTTCTGCTGCTGTCTCCTCCGCACCTCAACCCCCAGCGTAGATACCTTCCTCATACTCTTTGGGTTCCAACACCATACACTAGGGTGATATTACCATTCTGTTACCCTCCCCACAACTGGGGCACCCCTTTCAGCCTACCCAGGCTTTAACACTGTTTTGGGATTCCCAGATGCCCTCCTGACCTCACTTGGTCTCTGGCATCCCATGCTGGGTTGTCATAGCTACCTCTACCCCTGCCCCGGTACAGAAATCTTAGTCACCCTTTTAGAACTCTCCAGCCCTGTGCTAGGCCAGCTCCCTGCTCTTTCCCAAATAGAAGGTCTCACGCCACAAGGGCTTCAACACTCCATGTGGACCACCTTGTCATGTAGAAGCACCCTCTTCCCTCTACGACTCCAGCACCTGCACCCTCCCGCATGAACACCCTCTTGGATGCCAGCGTGTCTGTTCGTACTCTGGGCAGTATAGAGCATCAGTTTTATGCTACTGGCTCTACTTGAATGGAAAGTCTCCAGGAACATCCAACAGGTACTGAGTACCAGCGTCTTAGGAATTGGAAGGATCTTTAGAGGGCATGTAGCCCTAACTTTTTACTATTATTTCTTAATGAAAAGTTTATTAATTTGTAATTTTTTTTAAAAAAAACCCTCTTACAGCCCATTTCATTTTCAGGTAGCTTTATCCATTAAGGTGGTTTTCCTGCTTATCTTGTGAGTTTGACTAACGCTTTCTCCAATTTAAGCAGACAAGTTTGATTACAGAAATACTTGGAGGTGATCTGAGAGTGCTCCCTGTGAGTGGTCACCCATCACTAAGTCATCTCTCTGAAAACGAATGCTTTCACAAAAGAAAAATCGGTGAGGCTCAGAGCTGGAGTAGGATTTGAGTCTGTTTCGGTATCTAGAAGGAACACTCGTGGCTAGAAATATTCGGTATATTGTTCAATAAATTGTAATTTAGGGGGAACTTTCTCGGGATGAGAGGAACCAGTCTGTGCAGCTAATCTAAGCTGCCTTCCTGATGGATCACTATTCTTTGTCTTCTCTCCACTCACTTTTACCCTAAGCTCTGGGTCTAAACTGCCATGTAGGGCGGGCAAGGAGGTGCACTGTCTGGTACCCATGAGCCGCGTATGGCCACAGAGTGTTTGAAATGTGGCCGATGTGACTGAGGAACTTGATTTTAAATTTTATTTTATTTTAATGAATTTAAATGTAAAGGGCCTGATGTGGCTAATTGCTATTGGACAGTGAAGTTCGAGGGAACTGTGTATTCCTTTCCCTCCTCACTGTGGTGTGGGGAATGCCCTTTGCTTTTAGTGCAGCTGCGCAAAGAACTAGCAAGAGAAATGGTTCCGAGGTTTTAAAAGCAGTCTAGCTGTAGTGTGTGTTGCTCTGTCTTCTGGAGTTTGTTTAGCTGATCTGCCTGGCGAGGCCAGTGTCGCCCTTCTCCACTCATTGCTCTGTGTGTTTTGGACCTGAAGCTTAACGCTTGGTAAAAGATGACAACCTCAGTTAGAGAATGATTGGTTTATTCTTTGGCAGTAGATGTATGAACCTCTAAATAAATCTAAGAAACTAAAGAAAAATAAAATAATTGCCCTTCCTTTCTCTCCAAAGCAAGACAAAAAAAAGAAAAAAGAGAGAAAAAGAGATTCATGTTTTTGGTCCTTTCTTACATACAGATTTACATCAGCCTGCTTGGTGACATTGCCTATGAGATGCGTAGCCCTAGTATTTTCCCTGGTCTATACCAGTTAGAGGTAGGTTTAAGTAAGTACTGCTTCTAGGTATGATGGGTGTTTCATTTCTTCTTGAAACCTGCATTATATTATTCTCTTCTTTGACAGTGATCCCATCCCTAGTGGTCTCTCAACCTGGATAGTGTTTATGCTCTGTAACCTCTCTGTCTTCTGGGAATCTTACCTTCCAAGAGGGAATTACTCTCTGGTCACCCCAAAATCTTCCCTTTGACTTCTGGCTTACTACCTTTGTGTTCACGTTTTTGTCTCTTGTGGAGAGCGAAATAGCTCTAGATCCTTGGCAATCCCTTCTTCACTCTATTCTCTAATAAGCATCCTTGCTATCCGGGTGTTAAGAATGGTTCCATCCTTTGGTGAAGATAGTTTTTTCTACTCGTTCTCAATTACCAGTTCAGTCTTCCTAATGTCCAGGTGGCTTTGACGATGGGGGCTCTCTTCCCTGGAGCTCCTTCATAACATAAGGATGCCATTCAACAGGCAGAAGCAGCCTTTCATCTCTTCTGGTTTTATAGCCAGCGATGCCCATTAAGTTCTCTTCTTATTTGAGGGATGCAGCTTGCTCTCGGTTCCTTTTCAGATCGGAGAACTCAGGTATAACTAATGATAACATATTGATATTTCTTCTAATCAGTCACCCAATGAGTTAATTTCTCTCTTTTTACACACACACACACAGATTTATAGCATGCTCTCTAAGCTTGGCATATTATAAGCATTTCCTCAAAACATTAAGAACTTTTCCCAAATAAATTTTTTAAAAAATTATTTATGCCTCCAGCACCTGGTCTTCTTACGTGGTTTCCCATCCAAGTACTAACCAGGCCCGACCCTGCTTAGCTTCTGAGATCAGACATCGGGCTTGTTCAGGGTGGCATGGCCGTAGACCATGGACTGTGGCTCCACGGGGGCACGAACCCAATTTTTTTATTATGTAAAGCGGATATGCTAGCCACTACACTATGGAACCACGTCCCCAAATAAAAATTTTAACGATTGCATATTTCAGCACGTGAATGAGTCGTATCTTACTTTCTTACGATACATAATATTTTAAACATTCAACAATGCTACAGAGTGTAATTTCCCCCCAAAAGCAAAGGATGTGAAGACTGGTGAGAAAACACTGCCATATAGTTACTATCGAAGCTTGTGTTACCTTGACTACCATACCAGCTGCAGCTTTCCCGTCACCTTTTTTGTCTCCTTTATAGTCCCAGGCGATACTTCCTCCTATCATCCCAGATGGCTCTCCATCCTGAGTACCGAGAGGACCTGGAAGCCCTCCAGGCCAAACATGGAGAGTCAGTGATAGTACTAGATAAATGCACCAACCTCTCCGAGGACGTCCTTTCTGTCCGTAAGCGCTGCCACAAGCACCAAGTCTTCGATTACCCTCAGGTGCTGCAGGTGAGTGTCATTTATTACCTCTCCAAAGGCTTGGTAGAGGTCACTTCCGCGAGGTAAAATTGACTCTGACAACAGGAGTTGTTCTCCACCTGCAACTAGAATTCCCCAGGGGGAAAAGAAGATGCACTGTTGCTTTTTCCTGGGTCCATGGAGCTTCAGGTGCTTCGACGTCTGGCATATTGTTTGTGCAAAGCTGCCCGGCTTGTGAGTGTTCATACTCCTTTCAAAAATTCATTATACTTCAGAAATGAAATCTGGTAGATATACAAAGAAGCCACATAGACAAAACAGGCAAACGTATTTTGTTTTTATGCCTGTATTCGTTAGCCAGTCCAAGGGGCAACTCGTGTCCTCTGACTGTGCTAGCCCACAAGCCTACAGTCAGCTGTTCCTGGGAATGGAAGGTTTTTTATTTTTGTTACTGTTTTGTCTCTTGGTGCTTTGCCACCCTTAACATGTCCTACTGGTGGCATGTCCTATACTTAAATCATGAGAGTGACAGTACTTCCTTAACCAGATGCACAGCAGTCCTTGTAGGGATGTTTTATTTTATAAGCAGGATATTTGAAATTCCAAGGGCACGGGGGCTAGGAAAGGAGACGCTGAGTTTTGTTCACTTAAATATTTAAAATGCAGACAGGTTAGTTTAAAAGAAATATCAAGGAGCTGGTGTGATTTTTTTTTTTTTAATTTTTTTATTATTATCTCCAAAGAGAACTGGCCCATACTGAGATTGTTAAAATACTTTCTCTCAAAAAGTGCTGCATCGCCTCTGGAATGTCTGACTGATAACAGTGGTGATGTGAACAGGAGTATTTATAGTAACCTTTGTCTAGACAGGAAAGATGGTCATCAGCACGCGGGTCCACATCTGGGTGCCGACTCTTCGGGCACGCCAAGCGGGCCGCCTGCACCTCCAGGCGCCGTGACTGGTGCTCTTCATTGACTCTTGCTGCTTTTCTCATTTATCCCCAGAGGAGTTTCTCCATGTTTTTTTTCTAAACTTTCCTTTTCTCTAGCTTTAAAGATGAAATGATGTTTTCTTAAATCTTTCTTTTTTTTTTTTTTCCTTCCGAAGAGGCAAAAACTGGGAGAAATCGAGTGTTAGACCTAGGGTCTTTTGTTATTTCGGTTTGCCTATTACAACTATTTTTTTCTCCTGTATATCTCTTATTTTCAGAAATTTCCTTCACATTCAGGGAGTGAATGGGGAAGAACTCTCTTGAGATTTTGCTTTATGTTCAGTTTATTCTTTCTAAATAGAACATATCTGTCTTAATGTGTTTTCGGAGGCATCGCGTCCATGAAATGAATATCTTCTGTATGCGAAGTATACTGCTTGTGCTATAGAAGGTAGAAAGATGAAATGAGAATGACATTTAATGACATTCTCTTTAGGGGGTCCTCTAGAGAGCCTGATATGGCCAGACAAAATAATTCTACTACAAGGTGGGCTGTAGTCAGTACAACGTTCAGCCTCTGTGCTACGATCTCCAGTGTATTTACATGATATGCTAGGGCTTCAGGAAACCGGTCTGTGGGAGGTCATATTGCTGAGTGTCCAGAGGAAGACTTGGATCTGGGTTTTGAACATTTTCAGAATGCCAACAGTAGAGGCATTGAAGTATCACCGAAGAGTGGAACTGCAAAACATTCCAGCCAATTAAGCTTTTCACGTTTTACTGGTTGTGAGATAGCATTTTTGTGTCAGGATACCTCAGTATTGCTTTGGCTTCAGCCCTTGGGAGGACTTCATGGTCTGCAGGGCTCAGAGTAAGTGGGTTAGTGAAACTGGTTTGAAATCCACTACCTCTGCTTGTGTTCCTACAGGAAGCTACTTTCTGTGTGGTCCTTCGTGGAGCTCGGCTGGGCCAGGCGGTATTGAGTGATGTATTACGAGCTGGCTGTGTCCCAGTTGTCATTGCAGACTCCTATATTTTGCCTTTCTCTGAAGTTCTTGACTGGAAGAGGTGGGTGTTACCTTCTAATAAACTTTACACCAGTCATTCTGCATGTATGAGATTTTAAAAGCCCCCTAAGTAATTGTAATTGAGAATTACCCTTTTAGACTGTTATGCTGTATTTTCCAGCAGGAGAGTTAGTCCATCGGCCTAGAGCAGAGGTTGGCAAACTGAGGCCTGTGGGCCAAATAGGGCAGATTGCTAGTTTTTGTAAATAAAGTTTTATTGACGTACAGACATACCCTTTCATTTACATATTGTCTTTGTCTATTTTTGTGCAACTGTGGCAGAATTGAGTAGTTGTGACAGAGATTATATGACCCACAAAGCCTAAAATATTTACTATCTGGTCTTTTACAGAAAACATTTACCAACCCGTGGCCAAGAGCAGTGGTAGAGACTGCAGAATATACTCACTTGGAAACTTAAAAAAAATGCCTAGGCCCTGTCCTCGGGAATACTGAATTTTAAAACCCCCTGGGTATGATTTGTAGCCACAGTTGAGAACCACTGCTCTAGAGTCTTTATTGAATTTGCATAATGTGACCAGCTGGAGATGGATGTCATCCACACGGATGACAGCTTAGAAGCATCCCCAGTGTACCCATGCACAAGCGTAGGTCCTGCTTGGTCATGGCCGTCAATGGTGTAATTAAAAGAATAGCCCACAAGGCTCACGTTGTTTTATTTCCCTAGGACTTTGGAGGTTAACGATTATTGAAAATTGGTTCCTTTTGTATATCTTTCTCAGGCTTGACTTGGTCTTAAATGCTTAATCGATTTTTCCTCTCCCAACTTGCTCCTCTCCCAAGTCTGGTCACCATAGATATTTGAACAATTTGGCATTCATTCATATGTACGTTCATTTATCTCACGTTGATTGGAGAGCCTACTGTGAACACTACAGTCTTTGCTCTTAAGGAGGCTAGAATCTCGTGAGGAAGACAAACCAACGATTACAATGTTGTGTGACAAATGCTATAACAGATGCTTGCACAGGGGACAGTGGAAGCTCAGAACAGAGGAGGGAGCCTAATTCAGTCTGAAAGAGGAGGGTACGTGATTCTTTCTGTCTTAGAGCAGTGCCCTTTATATGCCAGCTACTGTGTTAGGTATGGGGATACAAAGCTGATCACGATCGAACCTTGCCTTCAAGAAGCCCATAGTCTACTGGTGGAAGATGGATAAGTAAACCAGCAATGACCAAATACTGTGATGAGACGCAGCCCTGGCTGCGTGGGGTGCGTGGAGAAGAGCGAGAAGGAGACAGAGGCCATTGTGGCAGTGGAGTTGGTGAGGGCTTCACAGAGGCAGTGACTCTGAGCTGCGTCTGAGAAGATATTCCTATGAGAAGCTAGATCTGCTCGGGTAGTTGTAGTTATGGATAAGTGGTAGAGGGCTCTGGATTTGAAGTTAGAAGGGCTGGGTTCACGCAGCTCTGTTACTGGCTAGCTTCGTGATCTTGGCAAATCATTTAATCTTTTTTGAGCTTCAGTTTTCCCATCTGTATGGTCAAAATCATTTATTTGTTTAACAAATATTTATTAAGTGCTACCCATGTGTGCTAAGCAATGTACCAGGTGCTCAGGATATGCTGGTGAGTGGAACCAGTCGTGGTTTCTGTCCCAATGGACTAGTCTATGGTGGGGAGGGGAGTTCGGATTTTAAGAAATTAATTTATACAAATGTAATTACAAATTCTGCTAAATGCCACAAAGCGTACGTCATCGTCGAGTCCCCCTTCCCTTACCCACCATATCTAATCCGTTCACAAATGCTGCTGGCTCTCCTCTATCGCTTTCATCAGTTCCTCCCTCTTGAGCATCTCTTGCCCGGATTTTGCAGTGGCCTCCAGCTGTTCTCCCGGCTCCTGGTCTTGCTGGCTGTAGTTTGTTCTAACACTTCAGGCAGCTCCTGCCATGCTTTGCCTGAAACCTTCTAATGGCTTTCTGTCTCAGTCAAAGCCCAAGTCCTTAGAGTGGCCTGCAAGGCCCTGGGTGCTTGGCTGTGACCCTCCCTTCTGTTTCTCCTCATCTCCTGGTATTCTTCACCTTCTTTCCTGTCTGCCAGCCACACTGGCCTCTTTGCTGTTGCTGGAACATTCCTGACAGGCCGCTTCCTCAGAGCCTTTCACTTGTTAGTCCTTCTGCCTGGAATACTCTTCCCTCAGGTATTCTCACGGCTCTCAGTCCCAGGCCTGCCTTGTCTGTTTTGTTCACTGTCGTATTACCAGCACCTACTTCCTAACAGGGCTCCATAAATACCTGCTGAGTCGGTGAGTGGGTTTGGGCATTACAGTATAGCTTAAGAACGGGCAGTGGAGGGCGAAGAGGAGTGTACCAGGTAGGTGGAGTTTTACACGCAGAGGTGTGCTCAGGTGACTGAAGGGGTGCCCATGTGGCTGGAGCACACCGATAGATGGGAGGGAGGACAAAAGATGAATGCTGGAGCCAGGAGGAGGTGAGAACACAGCTGGTGAGAGAGCTCGTTTGAGAAGATTGGCCATGAGGAAGGGAGAAGGAAGAGGGACTGTTCACTGGAAGGAACGTGAGGCTGTAGGTTTGGGGTGTTGTTTCTGCTTGTGAGAATTAAGCAGTGTATGTGGACGTGCTTTGCGAAAAGGGCCGTACGTATATAAATTGTTTTGCTGTCGTCTATAGGGCATCTGTGGTTGTGCCAGAAGAGAAGATATCAGACGTATACAGCATTTTGCAGAGCATCCCCCAAAGACAGATTGAAGAAATGCAGAAACAGGTAAGAGGCCAAGCAGCCCTGAGAGGGAGCTGACCTGGGTGATGTGCAAGGGTGGCCTGGACTGCTCGGATATAGCGACAGCAGCCGGACGTGTGAGTGGGGTTCATTCCCTCCACTATATCAAGCAACCAAACTGAACAGAGGAAAACAGAATTGGGTGAGTTGGTCCAGTGAGGTCTGATAGAATAACTGTCAGATTTAATAAAGCATCTAAAGTAAGCCTTCTGTGATGTCAGGGTCATACCATTGCAGTGTGTTGAGCACACAGAGCTGAGCCTCTTTCCACAACAGGTGATAGTTCCGGTGACTGAGACCGTGATGGAAGGTGGGATGGTTCAAGGTTATGCTTATGAGTAGCCGCTGACCTTCAGAATGTTGTTGGATAAGCTGGCCTAGGATCCCCATTCACAGGGCTTCCTCTCCCCTTGGACATGTCTGTGATCCTTCCTCCCTTTCCAATTCTTTCTTTCACCTCTGAGGCCCCTTTCCCTGGGCGGCTCGCGGTGGTCTAACTTTAAGGCACTCTGCTGGGTGTCCCATCTCATCCTACTTCCCTTTCTTTCTCTTGAAATGGGTTTAAATGTCAAGCAAGTTTTAAAAAAAATTAAAAAGACTATCTGATATTGGTACTCTGTTTTTTAAATGGATTTAAAAATTTTGTATTAAAATTATCTATGTAGAAGATGAACAGCAAAAGGGGTTTGGAGAGTTCTCAGCATTAAGCACATGCATAATTGTCACACGCATCTTCAGTTTTCGGTTTGGCATCCCCACCTTAGTTGGCCTTGTCCAGAGAACGGGTCTCAGGCCTCTGTCCCGGTGAGGACAGGAGGGCATCTGGGCTTCTAACAGCTTCTCAAATACATTTCAGTCCATCCTCCTGCCTTTAACTCTCTTTTCCCCGACTTGGGGCTCGGCAGTGGCAGGCTCAGAATCATAGAGCCGTTGAGAAGGAGTGAATAAAGGTCATCTAAAACAGTGTGCTTTTAGGTTACTTGAGTTCAAAGAGCACCCTTGGAGTCAGAAGACTTGGGTTTTAGCCCTGGCTTCGTTCCTATTAATTATACAACCATGACAAGTCACCAGAGCTCCCTGGCCTTTCATTTCCTCATTTATGAAATGAAGGGGTTGGCTAGATCATCTCTCATTTTCCATTCGGCTGTTTGAAAACTCTATGAAACTCTTGTCCTTAGCAAGACCATTACTCTCCTTGACTACAGTAATTAAGTGGTCATCTCTTCTTCTCCTGAACACCTCTAGACATGAGGGGCAGTTGCCTACTCTTTCGGCGATTACCCTACATATGTCAGCTTCCAAAATAAGGTAGTCTTGGCACGTTCCTGCTTCCCTTTCTAAATCTCCCTTTGCTTCCTGATGCCCTTTTTCTCTGTGCCGCCTTCAGGACTTCTAAGGCACTCCAGTGCAGTGCCCCACGTGGTCTTACCCCGCCTTCTCCGGGTATTCTGTGTTCCAAAACTGACCTCTTTTCTTCTCCCAACCCTAGATTTCTAGACCGGACTGATCTCACCTAGAGGTGAGAGTATCTAGTTGAAGTAATTCCCAGATAGGTATAAGGAAGACTGGATGCCAATAGCACACCCTCCTCCCAAGTTGTGACAACCCAAAATGTCTCCAGACATTGCCAAACGTCCCACATGGGACGAAATTGCTTTGCTCGAGAACCACTGTTCTATTGATAGTTAAGGTTCTGTAGGACCCTTTCCAGAATATGTGGGACATTTTGCCCTGTTTGCGGCTATCAGTTTAACTTGACCTTGGCAGGAGGAACTGAAAAAATAGCATATAACTGGCTCTGGAGAGTTTCTCACCTTAGTGAGTTCTCTTCGGGGAGGTCAGATTTGGATCTTTTTGTAAGACAAACATAAACTTTTAGGGGAAATCCTGTTGCATCAGTAGTTGATACCATGGAGCCTTTGGTCGATCCCTCAGAGTGACCTGAGACTGAGGAACAGAGAGATTTTCTTCCTGAGCACCTCAGAACTAGCTTAAGGAGCTGCATGGACAGTTGTGGCCAGCAGAGGTCTCCATCCACTTTTAAGTGACTCTTCCCATCTGATTGTTTCGACGTGTCCAAGAAATCCTAAGTGCCATTGCTTCACACTGACATTGTCCTCCTAGCTGCTGTCCCTGGAGACCAGTTCTTTCAGATGAGGAAGAAATAGTGCTTAGCACAGGACTTAGCTCTCCCTAGATGGAATGCGGCTGAAGTTTCTGAACTGACCTCAAAACTGTGGGTGGGATCTTGGTGACGAAGGTATTGCAGCAACATTTTGCAGCTTAGAATTCAGGATCAGAACTGATCTGACTGATCTACAATCTGACTGATGTATACTGTGGCCCAAGTCCTTATCACGACCTGGGAGTTAACATGTACCAAGACCGAAAGATATTTTGCCTGGCAAGAAGTAATTACATTTTCCTTCTGACCTTAGATATGATATCGAAGCCGCCATAAAGTTAAATACAGACCAGAGCCTAAAGAAAGAGCAAGCTGTAGTTAAGCTAAGATTTTTGAAGAAAGGTACAACATGTGTCTGTTATCTACCCCAAAGGGCAACAATGAGAGTGCCAGCATACATGGCACTGGACAAGCGAGGGGTGGCTTATGGGGTTTTTTTGTAGGTAAGTTAAGAGCCAGTTCCTTCAAGTAGAGGATAATAGTTATAACAGTATAAAGCCAACTTATCAGTCAGTCTCTTATTGTTCTATGAACTAAATTAAGTAGTTAATTAATTTAGTGAAGCCCTAGTAAACTTTTTCCCCCAAGGGGAAATGATGGGAGATAATAAGAATCTGAGATCATCACTCACAAAGGCCTAATTCACCTTGGGGATATATGGGTATAAGCACAAAGAAGGTTATGAAGGTGGTACAGACTTCCAAAAGTTCATTAGGGGTCTGCAATGGAAGGGAGAAGGTATGAGACAGGGATTAATTTATCGGGGAGGTAGCATTTGTGGGAGGCCTTAAAGATGAAGAGTCCCATCAGCCATCTTTTTCACAATGGAAGGCAAGGAGTATGCAAGGAGAAATATTTTTCTGTAGTCAAGTGGAACATTCATAATCCCAGTCTCCTTTGAATCACAATGAAAAAGAAAGCAATCTAGGATCTTGGAAGGCTGGATAGACACTAGACTGTGTAGTTAGAAATGTTTGTATGGATAGGGAGGAAGGTGTAAATGGATCCCCAGTTTATCTGTTGAGTGGAGTTTCCAAACATTCTTTTATTGGTCAGTGGCTCCACCAGCAGTGACCTCTAACCTCATCCACACTAGGAGGTGGAAGTCAGGAGCCTGCCTTGCCTTTGAACTCTTCTTTGTACTCAATTGACTAGGAGCCTTTGAGGTGGCAGAAATATCCAGCATCTTCTTTTCACTCTCGCCTTTAATACGTGCGTAAGTTACAATATCAGTTTCTTTTCAGTCTGTTGCACTAGCTCATCTCAGTTTGCCTTCATATTTCCCTTCCAAGCGTACCAAATATTTGTGCTGCAGAGGAATACTTGAAGATATCACGGGCTGATCAGGAAAAAGACAAAACCCTTCTTATTTAAGAAAACAAAATCCCAGGCACATGGTACCCCCACCTACCCAGACTGCAGTTAGGCCTAGCTGTGGTAAAGGAGAGAGCAGAGCAGACCCCAGCACAACAGCGTTCGTGCACTTCCTTCCTAGGAGAACCCCTAAAAGTCGGCTCTTATTTTATCTTATTTATACATAATTTCACCACATTGAATTTTTCGGTTTCCATCGCCATAATGGTTTGAAAAGTCACATACTTCATGGGGGAGAAAGTCTGTAAGTGAGGATCTCCAGGATGGCCCATCTGCCAGTCTGGCATGAATGGAAAAGGTGGGAAAGCTGTTTTAAAATAGAACTCTCGGCACATGGGTATACCGCAGACCGCTTTGCAGGCTGCACTATACCCTGGGCGTATCACTGTAAGATGGCAGAATCCCTCAAGTCAAAGAAAAGTACGTTTGTTTGTTAGTTTGTTTTTCATATTTTGGACATCCAAATGAATCTTACCAGTAGTTTGAACATTGAGCATAGTTTCTTATTTCTTCCCCCTAAAGCTGTTATTGATGGGGTATTTAAAATGGAGGAAATATAGAAATTGCTGTTCTTGGTGGCACCCTTGAATCTTTAAGTAAAGGTTTCAATTGTTTAGTTTATGTATATATATGTACGTGTAGGGCGTGTGCGTGTGTGTGCGTGTGTGTGTGTGTGTGTGTATAGGCTCATAGATTTTATCAAGTTTCCTATCTAAAATTTGCGTTTTTATTTTTAATAAATTTTGTGATTCGCTTAAAGGTGTCAACCTTCAGATGTCTAGGAAGCTCAGCAGCCCAGGTGGGCACATTCTTTGAGGGTCTCCCTTGCTGGTGGCTTGATTGTTGTCAATTGGCAGTTATATAGCAGTCTGTGTCCATTTCTCCCTCACTCCCCCACCCCCAACACACACCAGTTTACAAAGCAAAGTCTTTGAACAGAGTAGTGACATAGGCAGAAGAGTAAGCTGGATTTTTTAAATGTGAGGAAACAGGATAAAAAGACGTAAAGTAGCCCTCCCAAGACCACACAGTGTGTGAGGGACAGACAGGGAACACAATCTATTTTGCTGCCCACAACTTGATTCAAATCACTGCGTGGCCTGGACTGAGGCTGAAAATCAGGATGAACTTCCCAATAATTCAAGCTAACTGCTTATTGGATAGACTTCTTTAAAAAGTGGTTACTTGATACATTTTGACTGAACACATCCCCAGAAATATGAAGACTGTGGAAGAAATTTCACTTCTCATTTTTAGGATCAATATTGTAATGTCTGTCATTCTTATCCCCGTGACTGTAAAACTGAAAAATTTTTATATATATAAACTGAACTCTCCGGGTTTGTTTTGTAAAAAGTGCCTAATATTCCCTGCCTCCCTTCCCCGCCCCCACCCAGCATGCTACTCCAAGCTGTGTTTCCCAAAC